CCCCAGCAACACACATGTACACACGGTCTCCATGTGACTGTACTATCGTTAGAACACTTACTTTACCTCCTGTTCATGTAAGAACAAATTATATGTATTGTGACAAAAATACTTAGCACACAGTCCCAGTACATCCCAGACATTCTAACTCCTGGAAAAAAACAATGATAAAATGGAGATGGAGGGCTGGCAAACAGAGCAAAATAAGGAACTAACATGGTAGAATATATGCCATGAATGAATGAACGAATGAATGAATGAGTTAATGGGCACACTATCTTGAGTTAGTTGGGAACAGTCTAAGAAAATTTAATAACTCTTTAAAGAGTATTCTTTGTATTTTCAGATAATCCCATAAGAAGGATGAGGGGGTAGATAAAAATGATTTCTTAAATCTCTAGCAGGATTTCAAGGTCAGCTTGCAAACAAGTACCTATGAATTATAAGAAATTTAATTCTTTATTTATAGCAATTAACATTAAATGTATCCTTAAATATCTCTGAAGACATTTAAATTAATTCAGTCTGATTCTTTACAATTAGGTGAGATCAGGCATCCTACAAGGATGCATGTTTTGACTAAAGGACAGAATGAATGTCAGGCAGAGTCATGTGGAGATCATTTGTATGTACAAACTACTACTAGTACTACTACTACTACCAGTACTAGTAGTAGTATTACTACTAGAAGGTAAAGCCACTGACTGAGGCCAATTTTCTAAATTTGCTCTGGTGCCTTAGGGTGGAGATCTGACAGTGTTAAATAAACTAAAATTATAAGCTAAGCTATAGCTACAAAACAAAGGCAATAAATCTCAAAAGGAAAATGACTGTCATAGTTACTTTTTTTTCCGCTGCTAAGGCAAAATACTCGACATTCAAAATTAAAGGGGGAAAGGTTCATTTGGCTTACAGTTCACAGAGATTTCAGTACATAATTTGCTGGCTCCAAGGCAGGCTGGCAGAGGGGCAACAGTTCATGGTAACTGAAGATAGCAAAAGCAACAAGGGACAAAGCTTACCTTTCTGCCCCTTCTATCTTATTCAGACTATTAGGACAGGTAGCACTCACACCCTTAATCCAGCTGCCCTTGGGCCTGGCCCTACCAGGAATCAATCACACACTCTAGATTCAGCTACCTCTGAAAAACCAGGAGGCTTTGTGGGGACATCTAAGCACAATCCATAACAATGACAATGGACGAAGAAGTTAACTCCTTTCCAGTGCTCCAGTGGTACCTCGGGTCATGAACACTTTTGTTTGTAAACAATTAGTTCTCAAGCAGAAGCGTTTGGCAGTTTTGGTTTTGTTTGCTAGCTCTGCATCAAGTGACAGATATGAGCATATGAACACAAGTTCCACAATCGTGGAACAAATCAAATTTGTGAACCATGCTAACACAGTCAGTGGTCGTCAGTGCCATAGTGCAGGAATACGCTGGACAAAATATTAATATATATATGTGTTGGTCTGCACTTCCAAAACATAGCCTCAACACTAATTTTTCTTTTCTTTCCACCCCGTCTATGAAAACAAGAAAGTATGCTGTTCACTGGCTATCATAAGTGGGAAAAAGATCAAAACAAAAAGAGCACATATGAATTATATTAATACTTATACCATGGTGGGTGATGGATTCAAGATGCCAAGTACTAGAAAATGGACAAGAACAAACTCATCACACACACACAAAAAGAGGATAAATGAACTTGAGCTATAAAGAAACCCTAATTTTGTCCTTTGTTATCCAAGAACCTAGCATTATCACTTGTCTATTCAACCAGAAAGGATAGCAGATAGGGGCTTATGCCTGAGGGGAGAAAAAATCTTTGAAAGGGAGACAAAACAGAATCTAAGACAAAAATGATACAGGGTTCACACATTGTGGTGTGAAGGGTAGAAGAAAGCAGAGGACTGGCTTAATTTACCAACACCAAGAAGCCACAAAAAAAGAATGAATACATCCAGTAAGTCAGCCACACTTCTTGGATGGCATTACAGAATGATGCTATGGCCCTGTACTCCTTATCTCTAGATGTCTATTTTAACCAGATTTCTACAAGCAGTGCAAGGGTTCAGAAATCACAGAGGCAGTACTTTAGCATCCCCTCAGATGGCTGTTAGGATGCATGCCATGGTCTTCCAGGAACAAAGAAACACAAAAAACTTCTGCTTTGGCCAGTTGAAGAAGGCGTATCAGTCTCTGCATCTATTAAAATTAATGAAATAAAAAGGGGTCTGCCAATCTGGTCAAAGATATTCAATTGCCCAAAGATTTTAACTGTCTGAGAGATTCTGGAATTTCTAGCAGGGCAACATTTCAATTTGAATTCTTATTAAAGTATGATCACAGAATTATTTCATTATATTAGAAAATCTGCTGAACCAAGAGAATTGATTGTACCAAAAGATACTATTTTGAAACTCTTCACCTTTGTAAACTAAAGAGATTGGGAGGAGGAATCAAATAACTAGGGTCACAAATGTTAAAAAACACAACAAAAACTCAGTTCTTTACAATGAGTGATCTGGTTCACCTCCCACCTACTTGGATGGCTGCTATCATTAAACAACACACAATCTTCTATTTCCAGCACTCTGAGAGGCTGAGGCAGGAGGACCTAAAGTTTGATTTCCTCTTCCCTAGGCAATTTAGTGACTTAGTGAGACCTTCCTTGTCTCAAAAGAAAAAAAGATGTAGCTTAGTGCAAAGGCCCTGGGTTTAATTCCTAGTAGAGTGGGGGAAAAAAAAGATGATAAACCCCCAGAGGAGAAACTGGAGCCCTTGTACACTGTTACTAAGAATGCAAAATTATATATAGCAGCTATGGAAAAGAGTCTGGCAGTTCTTCAAAAAATTTAAAATTGAATGACTGGTGCAGCAGTTCACTTTGGGGTATATATTAAAAACAACTAAAAGCAGAGACTGACTTGAACAGATTTTTATACACCCATGCTCTAAACAACATTATTCCCAAAAGCCAAAAAGTGGTGGTAAAACCAAGTATTAAACTGATTAAAAGATAATCAAAATGTGGTGTGTGTGTATGTGTATATATATAATACAATAATATAATTAATAATAATATATATATTATACACGTACACATTTATTTTGAGACTGAGAGAAAGAGAGAAATATTATTCACTCTAATAAACAAGGATGTGTTCGCTTTGGCAGCACATATACTAAAAATCATGGAAATCCTGGGCTGGGGATTTAGCTCAGTGGTGCTGCTGCTTGCCTTTCAAGTGCAAGGTCCTGAGTTTGATCCCTAGTATCAAAACAAGGAAATCCTAGCTGGGCAGAGTGGTTCATACCTATAATCCTAGCAGCGAGGGAGGCTCAGGAAGAAAGATAGTGAGTCCTGCCTAGGAAATTTAACAAGACCTTGTCTCAATAAAAAGGTTGAGAATGTAGCTCAGTGGTAGAGTGCTCCTGGATTTGAACCCTGGTACAACACACAAAAAAAGGAAATCCTGATATATGTGACATTACAGATGAACCTGGGAGACATTACACTATGAGAAATAGGGCAGTCACAAAAAGATAAATACTGCATGATTCCACTTACATGCTGTAAAGTCATCAAATTCATAGAAACAGCAGAATGGTAGTTACCAAAGGCTGAGGTGTAGAGGGAGCTACTGATTAATGGGTACAGAGACTTTTACAAGAAAGAATTCTGGAGATGGATGGTAGAGATGTCTGTATATTCGTTATTAATGTGTTTAATGCCACTCAACTACACTTGAAATGGTTAAGGCAGGAAGTTTATTTTCGTTGTACTTTAACACAATTAAAATAAAAAAGCCTGGTATCTATGTGTTATGTCTGTATTCACAGTTAAGATGCTTCCTGGAGAAACATTCACTTGAGGACATCCAGGTGTCCTGTAACCCATGAATTTTTAAAAATATAGTATTTATTCAGCACTGGCGAGGTTGCAGGTAGAACTAGGCACTAGGGACACACAATGATACCAGGTCATATTTCTCTTGAATTTAAAATGGGGAACCACTTATCCTCAACTAGTAACTGTAGTAAATAAAGCACAATGAGGGAAAAGGTAGTACAAGAAAGAATAAAAGAGAATGAGAGAGATAGGAAATGTCTGTAAGTCTAATTACTGTTCAACCTATTGTAACTTTAATTAATCAATTTTGTACTTTAAATGTACCAGAAGACTTAAAAACCTTAAAAGGTTTATTGTCAAGTCTCATGCAAGGCTAAATGGTTAATATCCACCCTCTCAAGTTCTGAATTTTCCAAACCTACCTGGGGAACAAAGATTATCTGTATCAAAAGTGATCCTCTGGTAAGACAAAATGACTGGGAAGAGTTAACCACTAATAGTTTTTAAATAACAATTTCATATAACTAAAACTTAAGGCTAACTTAAAATGTGTTTGCAAAAATTAAATGTTACATAGTTACTGCCTCCTAATCTTTTCTGGGTTGCGTTCTCTTCCTCCAAATGCAGCATACATCAAATAGCCAATTTCTTGCTAAGAAATTTAATACTGGATCTGAAGGAACAGTGATATATATAAGCTACCAAAAACAGAAATGTGGACATTTTTATAATTATCGCTTTCATTGCTGCAAGGCACTTATTAATATCCTATATATTACATCCTTAAGTCAAAGGCCATTAACCACCACGTAAACACAAAGTTCAACAAATGCTTGGTGAATGATGCTTATTTCCTATAGTGTATCTAAAAGAGCTTCCTAAATATATGCAGCTCCTCTGTGTAACAGCACTCCTACAACTCTGGTTCAGTGAGAGAGCAGTTCTACTTAAGAATGGACAATAAAGTATTTTGTTGCAGCTGGCTTACAATGACACCATAGAAACAACCCCAAAGAACAAGTTGTCTTAAATCACTATTAAGAGCTACACCCAAACACATCCATGATATATGGACCTGGGATATACGCTTAAGAACATCTCTCCTGCTCTCATAAACAAGGGCCCAGTTGAGTAATACTTACAGCCAACATTGGAGTTGTCAACAGGCCCCATGCAAAGAATTCAAGGAAGATGACAATAGCAGCATGGCAAACAGTTGGCCGGCCAAAGCCTTGTAGCTAAAAAAAGAAAGAGACCTTTTATGAAAAGTAATAAAGAGATATAGGAAACTTATTATGCTAGAATGGTATAAAAATATAAAAAATAAATTTTGTACTATCCATATTATTTACAATAAAACTTCATTCTGGTGCTGGGGATGTACCTCAGGCAGAACACATGCTTAGCATGTGCAAGGCCTTATGTACAATTACTAGCACTAAGAAGGACCTAAAATCTGCCCGAGTCTTTTTTTGGTGGGGGGGGCTCTCCTTCTCCTAAGTTTCATTCTGTGGTATCCCCGATTCCCTCCCCTTCCCTAATCATGAAAGGTGTTAAGATGATAGGATATTTGTCCCTTAGTTCAAATCACTGGGGATCTGGTAGGAAATCAACTGGGTCTTTCAGACTTTGATTAGCCACGCTTGGTGGACACATGCCTATCATTCCAGCACTCAAGAGGGTTAGGTAGAAGAATTTACAGTTCAAAGACAGCCAGGGCTACAGAGCAAATTCTCAGCCAGTCTGGACCACAGGGCAAGATCCAGTCTCAAAAACCAACTCCCCACTCCTCCCAAAAATTTTGATGCCAGGACCTATCTGTCTCTTGCTAATTATGTGTTCCTCCAGCAACTTAACCTCTCTTAGCCTGAACTTCTACACATTAGATATATCATACTGTATAACATTAAACATCTTGAGGATTCTCAGTGCCTACAATTCACTGTCAAGTGATTTGGAAAAATGGTGCATGTATCTACTCTAAATCAAAGGTCACAAAATATTAACTGCTAGATTTAGATGAAGGGAATGTGTGTTCACTTTACTATTCTTTTAATTTTTTATCTTGGAAGTTTTTTGAAAAAGAGCTAAGTAAAATTGTTATTAAATAATCAAACTTGCAAAGTTCTTTAACTCTAATGAGGTTGGGCTTGTTCGTTGGTTTGGAGACAGGGTCTCTCTATGTATCCCAGGCTGGCCTTGAACTTGAAGCAATCCTGCTTCAGCCTACCAAGTGCTGAGATTACAGGCTAACCAGCATGTTTTCAAAGCCATTAAATTATGAGACATCTGCAAAACAGAACACATTAAACAAAGTTTAAAGAACAAAAGAACAGGACCACTTAAGCACCTAAGAATTCAAAGAAATAAAAAGTACTTAGCATATCAGCACAATCTGCAAAATACCAGTTTTCATTAGCCCTTTACCAAAGAAATGAACTATTCCCCCTCTGCCTTTGACAAGGCTGAGACCAGCTGACTGTGACCCTCCTTCCTCTGCATCCTTCTAGCTCAAGTCAGAAACTCTGTTATGATGCCAGGCTCCTTTCTTACTGTCTGCCCCCTTGGTCCAATCTTCTACTCTCTTGCCAAGGTTACAGAGTAGCTTTCAAAAGGGGGCCCCTGCTTCTATCCTTGCTCCTTTACCTACTGCCCCACAGCTAGAGGGATGGGTATAAATGTACACCAAACCCTGTTACTCCTCTGACCTTGTCTGACTTCCAGGCATCTAATTACATTTCGTATGTCCAACAGTAGGTGAATATATCAGGCATCATTCATACAAGAATCTCAAAGACTCTTAAAATAGCTCACAGCAGGAATTGTAAAAGGGCTATCCAGTTCTTTTTTTGCAGTTCTCCTTTGCAGTCTCCCAGAATGTGTATGTGCTGCCAAAGCGAGCACTGCCGTCTCCCAAGATGAAACTGCCTGCAGATGAGTATAGAACCATGAGGAACCCTGAGCAAAACCAGTGCAGAAACCCCATCTGAGTTCCACAGACACTGCTCCCCCAAAGAACTGCCATCAGTGGGAGCTGTTTTAAGACAGTAAGATTCAGCTTAGTTTAAGTAGCAGTTAGTTATTCACTGATATAAACTCCCTTTGCCCTCATTAAACTCTTTTAAATCTTTTCATGAGGGCCCCTTTGTAGCTCTCTAGCCTCATCCTTCCACCCATATAAGTCAATAAAATATCTGATGAAAGAATATAATCTTCTCCAGAAAAGCATTATTTTCTATTTTAAAGTGTACACGTTATAGACATTTTTGGTCAGAAAGGATATCAATGACTGTGAAATCACATTTTGAAGCCTAGATTAGAAAAATATAAGCAGTTCACAGTATCAGAGCTGTTGGGAGATGATGGAAGGGTGGGCATTACCTGACTTAAAATATAAGTACACAGATCATGTTGTGACACGGATCAACCTTAGGAGCACTATGTTAAGGGAAAAAAACACTTCACAAAGACAAATAATATACAGCTCCACTTACATGAGGTATTGCAATAAGTCAAGCTCATAAGAGGAGTGGTGGCCAAGGGATGAGGGAAAAGCAAAGTAATTTTTTAATAGTGTGAGGGGGAAATGGGGAGCTGATTAATGGATAGTTTCGGTTTTACAAGATGAAAAATTATGTGTATTTTACTACAATTTTATATACACACACAAATATCGTTGTGTAAGGGACCTAAAAAATGCATTCTCCTCCTTTAGGGTATATCACAGTCACTCTAAAAAGAAGCTGACAACTGAGGGAAAGGAAGTCTGTGATAAAAGACAGTGCACTCCCCTGGATTAAGACCCCATTGCTTTTGAATATAAACCCCAAACAGCACCAAGAGCAGCCATAGGTCTATACTTGTCTTGCAGCTGCCTGTCACATACAGGATACTCCAGGACACAAACTACAAGGACCTCATGCAGGGGCAGCATTTGGTAAAAATCAAGTGGTGTCTTTTCTAGTATACTGGAGGTTACGTCCTCGTAGGTGACTAAGAGGCATGGATCACAGGTCCTCGCAGAAATGGCTAATTCTGGGACTGGGACGGAAATATACAAGAGGAGCCAGGAGTAGTCTGTGGTACCAGAATATACAAAGGTATGATCAAATTAAACAGTGAATGTTCAAATTTATTTATTTAATATTTATTATCCAAATGATAAATGTAACTGTACTGTATACATAAAAAGTACCAATAAACTCAATGAGAAAAAAAATAAAATTTATTATAGTAACAACACATGTGAGATAACACAAGACTCCTCCACTCCTCCCAGCTGACCCCCACTCCACACAGACAGAACACATCCTTTCTGAAAGATAAAAAGCTAACTTAGGAAAGGAGAATTTAACTCAATCTTGACCAGGTAACACCATTTCCAAAAAATAGAAACTTAACTTAGAAAAGCAGAACTTGGCCCAACCTCTTAAGTGAATTCGCTTTGTTCCTTTCTATCAAATCACCCTTACCCAGGTCTCCTAAACCCAGAGCTCTCTCTGTATATAACCCCTAACAGCCCTGGCCAGAGGCTGGCTCCTGGACTCATGACCCAGCTGTAGTCATAGAGGCAATAAAACCTCTGCTTTAAATTTGCTTGCAGTTGTTTATCTTGGTTTCACTATGGGTCTTCTTTGACCTAACAACATTGACATGACTCCCTATCAAAATATTTCCCCTCGCTTCAAACATACTTCCCATCACACTTGCCTGCCTTTCTTTTTTTCTTCCCCTCTTTCTTTCTCCCACCTCCACCCGTTTCTTTTTTGAGACAAGGTCTTGCTCTGTAGTTTAGGCTGCTCGTGAATTCACTATGGAGCCCAGGTTGGCTTTGAACTCAAAGTGATCTTCCTGCCTTGGCCTCTAAGTGCTGGGATTATAGGCATGTGCCATCAAGCCTAGCTTCTCTCTCCACTTTCTGAAGCAGTTGTGACCGTCTTTTTTTAAAAAATAAATTTTATTTTATTTTATCCCATTTCCCCTCTCAAGCCCTCTCCTCTCCCTATGTACAAAAGCTCCGTTTCCATTTTTTCCTTTATTTTCACATGGAAGTCTTTTTTGAGTGACTTTACAATTAAAAAAGTACAACAAACACTGCTGAGTGCCATCTAACAGAAAGGCAGGCTCATAAAAATATGTTGCTTACTTGTTCACTGAATCTGGCACCTGTAATTTCTAGTTCCTCCTCAAATTCAAAATAATCATGAGAGGTAAAGTTTTTTAATTGATTCAGGACATCAGGTATGACAACAAATTTAAAGACAAATGAGGACTTCTAGAACTGCTTTACAAAGTGACAAGAACAATGGAACAATGGGATAAGTCCTTTGGAGGTGAGAGGGAATATTCTGAGGAGGATTAATGGCAATGTATCTTTTATTGTAATTTTTAAAAGCATTTGATATTTTTGATCAGGCTGCCTCAGTGCTTAAAAAGAAAAAGACACACTTGTAATGAGGCTGAGGCAGGAGGATTGAAAATTTGAGCCTAGTTTGGGCAACTTAACAACTTAGGCAAGACACTCTAAATAAAAAATAAAAGGAGTGAGAGTAGCTCAGTGCAAAAGTCCTGGGTTCAACCCTCTGTACCAGAGAACAAACAAGACAAAACAAAACAGTGATGATAGAAGTATGCCAAAGAATTCTGAATGACCAAAGCTAGAATCATTTAATCACGGAAATAAAGAAGTATTGGATCATAACCCAAAGTACAAGTATCTGTGAATTCATGTTGATAAAATGATACAATAAAATAACCAAAGAATAATAGATAAATCTGTTCATGAAGAGGGATCCCAAATAGTTTATGAAGACTTTCTGCCTTGTGGAAGTAGAGTGTAACTTTTCATTCCAAAAGTGTGGGCTACACAGTTACTGTTAGGGACCCGATGCTGCCATCACAGGCTGCATTTTCCTGGTGCTTCTTGGCTCTTAAAAGACCTCAGGTTCTTATCTTTAATTTCCCCTCCCCGCAAGGCCACAGCGGTCCAGAGAGGATAAATCTGTTTCTGCAGGACCAAACCCATAAAGGGAAATCTGGCCTGTGATAGGTTAAAGGTAGCCCACTTCTCATAAATAAGCAATAGTCCACCCCCCAAACAATAAAAAGAACCTTCCTTTCTTTGTTCTTCTCTCCTTCTCTCTCTTCCTTCTCTCCTCTCTCCCTAACCTGCCTTCCCTAATAAAATCTCCTGTCGGACCTCTCGGTGTGTGGCCTCGTTGTTGAGCGTCGCTGTGCC